CATTAAAAAGTGTGCAAAGGACATGAACAGAAACTTTTCAAAAGAAGACTAATGGCCAAGAAACATATGAAAAAAATGCTCTACATCTTTAATCATCAGGAAAATGCAAGACAAAACCACATTGAGATATCACTTAACTCCAGTAGGAATGGCTTTCATCAAAAAGTCCCAAAACAATAAATGTTGGCGTGGATGCAGAGAGATAGGAACACTCATACACTGCTGGTGGGACCGCAAACTAGTACAACCTCTATGGAAAGTAATATTTAGATAGCTCAAAGACCTAAAAGTAGAACTACCATTTGATCCAGCAATCCCATTACTGGGAATCTACCCAAAGTAAAAAAAGACATTCCATAAAAAAGACATCTGCACTTGAATGTTTATAGAAGCACAATTCACAACTGCAAGGATGTGGAAACTACCCAAGTGCCCATCAATCCATGAATGGATTTAATAAAATGTGGTAATATGTATATCATGGAGTTCTACTCAGCCATCAAAAAACAATGGTGATCTAGCACCTCTTGTATTATCCTGGATAGAGCTGGAGCCCATTCTACTAAATGAAGCATCCCAAGAATGGAAAAAAAGCTCCACATGTACTCACCATCAAATTGGTATTAACTGATCAACACTTATGTGCACATATGGTAGTAACATTCTTCAGGTGTTGGGCAGGTGGGAGGAGGGAGGGGGTATGGGTATATTCACACCTAATGGGTGCAGTGCGCACCATCTGGGGGATGGATACACCGGAAGCTCTGACTCAGGTGGGGCAAAGGCAATATATGTAACCTAAACATTTGTACCCCCGTAATATGCTGAAATAAATAAAAAATTAAAATTAAAAAAGGCATCTGTATCTTTATCCATTTTAGGTTGTATTATACCAAACCAAAACCTAATGAATAATCATATACTTTTCAGTATCCTAGAAGAAAATATGCCATAACCTCAATATAATGTTTATTCAAACACATTTAAAACTTTCTTTACCGGGTCATCTTCTATTCTCAAGAGAGATGGAAAATGGCAGATCATGACCGTAAACAAGACCAAAACACTGATAACTTGGATTCTTTTATCTAAGAATTATTCTCCTTTATGTGAATCTTTTAAAAACTTTTTACAATAATTTCTTCCTCTGAGAATTTAGGTTTATATTTGTAATTGAGATAAAAAAGTTTTTGCGGAAACTAAAAAGGTTGACATAATTAAGATGCATTTGATTTGTGGGTTCAATTATTTTCATTCATTCATTCATTTATTTATTTATTTTTGAGACAGAGTCTCACTCTGTCTCCTGGGCTACAGTGCAGTAGTGTCATCATAGCTCACTGCAACCTCAAACTCCTGGGCTCAAGCAATTCTTTCTGCTGAGTAGCTGGGAACAGACGCACACCATTACACCTGGCTAATCTTTTCTATTTTTGTAGAGACAGGGTCTTGCTGTTGCTCAGGCTGGTCTTGAACTCCTGGCCTCAAGCAATCCTCCAATCTCAGCCTCCCAGAGTGCTAGGATTACAGGCGTGAGCTACTGCGACTGGCCTAAATTATTTTTAATGACTTCATTATTAGTCACTGTAGATGTACTCTAAATTGATTTCATTTTTCTTAATCTACATTTATTGATTGACAAAATTCATTAAAGATATAACATTATTAAAGTATATTTCTCTACAAAATTAGACATCTTTTTTCTTAAAAGAAAAAAAGACATTGTCACTAAGACATTGTCCACTTCATATCTGCAAAAAAGTTGTACATGCAACATTTGTTTTCAATCATCAGAATATTTCTATATTATTTGCTCTCAAAGTCTTATAAATATGTAAATTATCCTATGATAAATGCAGCAAATGGACTTGGTTCTAGTTATTTTCCAGACAATAATAATAAGAACTTAACATTTGTAGAAAGCTCTACAGCTTATAAAGCACTTTCAAACACATGATTTCACCTTTGAATTATAAAATTTATATAATGCTTTGATATCTATCTGAAATGAAATATTTGCTGAAACAGTAACAAGATATTCCTCTGACTAAAGAGAAACTGTAGCGCTTATATAAACTGGTCGTTTTTTGCATTTTTTTGTAATGCAATCTCAGTTGAAGCCTATTTCATGAATACAATAGGGCCAAAGAGGTGGACCGGGTAAGGATGGACTTCAGCTCTACACAAGCAACAACCACCCAAACGTTGACAGTTCCCGCGTGGCATGTGCAAGAGACACTGTGGTTGAGACATCCAAGCACAAGAAGGTTGGTCACTGGTGGGGATGGGGTGGGGGACACAAGCATTGGGCCAGGGGCTGAACTCGATTACCTTCCAACCTCAGCTCTCTACAACTTTGTTGCAGAAAGTTATAAGAAGTAAATCATCACTCTGATTTGTGCTACGAAATCTGCTTTCCTTTGATTTGATCACAAGAGAAGTAGCCGGCCTCTGCGTCAACACGTAGTGCCTTGTGACCTGTGCTTCCTGTTTCATAAACACGTTTCAAATGAGAGTGTGTTTGGTTGGTGTTCACGCGCATACCTGCTATCAGCAGGCCATGTGAAGGGAGTCGAGCCTGATACATTTTTATGCTACATATTTTTACGCTTTATTCTATCACCAATGCTTACCATGATAAACCATTAAATTGTAGTATATAAAAATATTCTAGCATGCTGTTGAAATTTTATGAAAATCCTCTCTGAAATAGGGATTTCTTAGTCTGGGTTCTATAAATAAGGGGACCACAGAGTTAGAAACTCACTGTAATTCTGC